CTCCCCGCGGCCCCGCTCCCGGCCCCGCGCCGCTCCCTCCGGCACTTTCGCTTTCTCCCGCTCCGCCCCTATGCCGAGCCACGTGCCCGCGGCGGCGCAGAGGGGCCCTGCGCCGCGGCGCGACAGGCGCTGACTCCGCGGCCGCCATCTTTGAACAGGGCAAAGAGCGTCCTCCGCTCCCCCTTCTCTTCTTAGTTGTGCCGCCATCTTGAATGAGGGCAGTGCTCTGGCGGTAAGGAAGGGCGGGAGGCCATTTTGGGAAGGGCGCGACGCTCTTGCGTGACGTCATGCCCATTCGGTCATCTTGGGTGTGGGCAGGCTTTGTCGGGGAGGCTGCGGCTGCCATCTTGAGTAAGGGAAAGGGGAAGTGGTGGGGCGCAGTGGGGAGGGTGTCAGGTCGGGCACCCCTACGGTCCCCTCGGGGGGCGGCCTGGATTTGCCTCCCCCATCTCGGCCCCCAAGGCTGGATGTGCCAGAGAAGGGCGCCCAGGACCTCTGGCTTCAGGGGCTGCTCCTGGTGGGGCTGGGATCAGCCCGGATCCACCGGGATCAGCTGGCAGCGGGAGAGGGGGTCCCCTGGGCTTGGAATCCCAGAAATCCCTGGGGATCAGCTGGGGCCTCTGGAATCGGATGGAGTGTGCTGGGGACCTTAGGAATCATCTTGGGTCCATTCAGATCACCTGAGTTTGGTTGAAGACCTCGGCTGATGCTTTGGGATGATCCCTCTGGGATGAGGGGAGGGTCGGCCAGAGCCTTAGGGATCAACTGAGGTTCCTCAGAGTCCTTTGGGATCGGGTGGGGTTGTCTAGAGCCCTCAGGAATCACCTGGGTTCCTCCGGGATCCAATGGGCTCCTTTGGGAGCACCTGCCTGTACATCCCAGCGCATCTAACTCGCCAGCAACCCCCGCAAAATCCACGGGCGTCCGGGCGAGGGCCCGAGCAGCACAAGGGTTTGCCCGGTAGGACTCGCCGTTGGTTTATGGAGACGGTTTTGGGAGGGGTGGCACAGGGTCCCTGTGGGGAGACGCTGTTGTCGCCGGGGGCCCGGCACCGTTCGCAGGGCTCCAGCGTGACCGGCCCCCTCGTGTCCCGGGGGGCTTCCCGCCGCCCCCGCTTCGCTCCGTCCCGCAGCACCCTGGAGAGCGGCGGCGGAGGGCGGGAGACCGGGCGGCCCCGCTGCCCCGGCCGGGCGCCCCCCGACCCCGCTGCGGTGCCCCCGCCCCCCGGTGCCGCCGGTCCGTTATCCCCCGACCCGCTCTCCGTGCTCTCTGCTTTCTCCGTCCCGCTCCACAGCGTCCTCCATTCCCGCACCCCGGTCCCGCGGTGCCCCTGGTATCATCCCGTGCGGTCTCTCGGGTCCCGGTGCCGTCATGCCCGGCATCGCTTCCGAGGACAACAGGCCTCGTTCTGCCCGCTCCAGCATTCCGCTCCCGCGGGATGCCCATCCCGTGTCTCCGTGCGCCCCGTCGGGCGCCTCGTCGTCGCGCCGGCCCTGCCAGGGCAGCGGGTCTCTGTGCTCGGCGCCGCCCGCCTCGCCGCGGCCCTGCACGTCGGGGGGCCCTGGGAGCCGCCCACGGGGAGCGCCACGTCCTCGGGGGGACAGCGGCGGCTCCGGGTCCCGGGACGCTGCCTGTCGCCGCCGACAGAGCAGCCCCGCAGCTGCCGCCGCTGTTCCCCGTTTACCGGCCCCGCCTCGGGCCGTCCCTCTTCCCGCGCCGCCCAGCCCAGCCCGTTGCTCCCGGTGCTGCTGCAGCCGGGCCCCAGGGGAATCCTGCCCCGCCGCACGCCCATGTCCCCGGGGAAATTGTCCCCGGCTCCCACACACTACTGCCCTCCCAAGCAACCCCTGCGCCAGGACCCCCACCGACCACTGTGCCCCCCAACCTGGAACGTTTGCCCAACCTGAGGCTGGACAAGGCGGAATCCTGCACCTGGGGACACTTGCACACCGGGACTCCGAGTGTAAAGGACCTGCCACTCAGTTCCCTGTACTCCGGGGGCATCAGGGCTGCAAGCCTCCATGCCCAGGAACCCCCGCATCAGGCCCATCAGCATCAGCCCCCGCCGAAGCCGAAAGGCTTCTCTTTCCCCTGTTCTGCAAAGCAGCTTCTTCCTTTCTCTGCCTGCAGTCCAGCTTCTGCAGCCCTGCTGGGCTCTCCTGGCCCGGCCCTGTGTGGGGCAGCTGGCAAGGGGCAGCTCTGTGCCCACGCCTTGACTCTTCCCTCACTGCTTCCCAGGCCCCAGCCCGTCCTTTCTGCCAGATCCCATTACCCGGGACAGGAGCTGATCCCGCTACCTGCAGCTGGATCCTGCTGGAATGGGGCACCGCGCTGGCAAGAGCAGCCCTGGGACCCCCCACCTGCTTCACACACATTTAAAGACGTTCTTCTTCCATTTGGAGCATCTTCTGCACTCTGCAAATCCGTGTCCTGCTTGCAGCCATCCCTGGGACATCCCTGCTCCTCTTCCCCCAGGACACAGCCCTATCCTCCCCAAATCCTGCCAGACAGGACCGCCCCCCCATGTTGTCACAGGGCAGTAACACGCTCTGCCTGTTCCAGGGCAGGAGGTCCTCCCAGTGCAGCAGCCCCGTGGGGTCCAGCCCGTCCCCGTCTCTCCGGCCTGGCTTTGCACCACTCACTGAGTGGATGAGTCACTCATCAGAAGTGACAGAGCCGCCTCATGTGGCCCCACCGAGCAGCTCTGCGGGCAGCACCCCCAGGGCCAATGGGGCTGAGCAGCACGTGCAAACATGCACACGAACCTCCATACACGCATGCATGTATGTGTGCACGTGAGCTCCCATGTGCATGTAGAAGCATGCAAAGCACCCCCATGTACATATGCACATGCAAGCACGCACGCAAGCCAAGCATGCGCAAGTGCACGCATACACACGAGTCTATGTGCACACGTGCATGTGCGAGCATGCACACAAGTCCCATGCACACGTGCAAGTATGTACACAAGCCCCATGCACGCATGCACGTGCAAGCACTCACATGCCTGTCGGGAGCAGCAGCCTCCAGCAGCTCCATGCTGGATATGTGTGTGTGTTCCCACACATATCCAGCCCAGCCACACATATCCCACTCAGCCCCAGCAGCCCAGTTGGGAATATATATATCCATATATGTTCCCAGACAGACATGTCTTCTAAGCTGGACACATTCAGGACATGATTTGGCACGTGCACGGCAGCAGCAGGGACCCTGCAACATGTCACTGTACCCCAAGAGGAGCCTGTTCTAGGGATTCACCTATCCTTGCTCCAAATGCTTTAGCCAGGCTGAAAGTATTGCCATTAATTTTTCATAAAGCAATAGCAATAGCAATAGCAATAGCAACAGCAGCTCTTGTTGATTGGATTATTTTATTGCAATCACTATTCTGAGTTTTCTGAGTTTGCCTTTTTCTTCGGAGCTAGTAAAGCAAAGGAGTATGAGCAATATGTGGGATAAATTAGGGTAGGCTAACTCCAGCCATTGCTCTTAACAGGAAGTGTGGGGTAATTTCTCCTTTTCATTTTTTTTTCTGTGGTTCCTGTGCACATTTTTAGGTCTGGAGAAAACAGCAAAAACAACAAAACAAAAATGAAACAAAACAAAACAAACAAACAAACAAACAAAATAGGATTGGATCTGTGCTATATTTTGAATAATAATTAGAGCAAACTCAGTTAAACTGTTTCTTTCCTGTTTCTAGCTGGGGTAAAACCAACACTTTCGAGCAAAAAGAGATTTTGCTATAAAATAAACTTATAGTGAGCTTCTGATTTTATCTTATTTTTTTTTCTGCTAGAGAAAGCCCCCAAATCCATGTTCAGAATTCGGTGCTGCCGTGCCCAGGCCCAGTGCAGCTCCCAAACCCAGTGAGAGGAGATTTGCAGCCTTTGCAAACCATGGGATTTTTTGCAAGGTAGCAAGCAAGGGGGAAAGCCAGTGCAAAAGAGGGGTCCCTGGATGTCCCCGTCACTGGCAGCACCTGCACTGGCTCGGGGCCTTCCCAAAGGATCCTGCCCTAAGCACGGCTGGGGAAGGTCCTGCCCTGCCCACCCTGCTCCAAAGCCCCCAGGCCAGCCCCTGCCCCAGCTAATGGGGTCCTGTGGGCCAGGAAGGCCTAGGGCAGCTCCCATGTGGACCATCCCGCCCGGCAGGGTCCTGTCTGCCCTCCCCAGTCTGGCTGGTCTCTCTAACGGGAGCAGGAGACTGTGGGAGGCTCTGTGGGCAGAAATGGGGCTGCGAAAGCGCACGGAGGAAGTGCAGGGCGGCAGCATGACGGGAAGGGGTTCCCGCTGCCGGGACAGGGACTTTGCAGGGCACAGGAACCCTGCCCACACCAAGGACTGAGTCCTGCTCACACGGTGTCGGGGCTCCTGCTCACCCTGGGCACCAGATGTGCTTTGCACCCAGCCCTGGTTCTGCTCTCGTGGAGCTCGGGCAGATTCTCAGCCGTGTGCTGAGAAATGAGCCAGGAAAAGCAGGGCTGGAGACATCAGCCCTTCCCCTCCTGCGGCTAGGAGGGAGCCTGGCTGGGACCCTGGCTGGAGAAACAGCAACTCAGCCTCGGGGTCACAGATGATGGAGGGGACAAGAGGCTGTCAAAGCTCTCCCGGAGAAATGCTGACTCCAAAGGGGGCAGAAGGCCCATTCAAATGCCCTTTATCCCCTCGGCGTTCAAATAGAAGCGGAGTGGCACCAGGTGCCAATGCCTGTCTGCTGTGTCACCCCAGAGCCGGACGTGCAGAGGAGGCAGTGCCCGTGACAATGTGGGCACATGTGGCAGCAGAAGGACTTGGCAGGGGGCGAGCAATAGCTTTTCCCTGCCAGAGCTTCATGTAGAGTTTTGCTGCAATCGTTTCCGGCAGCTGCAGGGTCCTGCGGTTGGGCCCCTGCACATTTCGTGTGGCACAATCGCGGTGTCACAAATGATCCCGAGGAGCCAAGGAGTCGTCCCTGCCCCACAGGACCGGGAGCTGGGGGTGGAGGGAGAGGCTGTAGGACAGCGGGACAGGACGCAGCCCGAGGGGGCTGCTCTTGCAACGGCTCCTCTGGGGCTGGCGGAGTTTGGGTGACCGCATGAGACACCGTCACTGGGGCAATGAGTTGACATCCCGGAGCCGATGACGGTCCTGGTGGCCAAGTTCCCTTTCTTGGCCCTTCCAAGTGCCTTCCTCTGCCACATGCAAAGGGACGGAGGAGGAAGCAGCCGCGGGCCTCACAGCACCCAAGGATGGCAGCGCAGGGGCCTGATCTCTACGAGAGCCTGAAGATTAAATATCCCCGCAGCTTCTCCCCAGGTGAGTCCCAGCACAGAGGCGTCGGCAGCCGCGCTCATCACCGTGTCCTTCAGCGCCCGCTCCTCCCAGGCACAGGGCAACCCCGGGAGACGCCAGAACCGGGGAGCTCCTGCCCGGGGGAGCCTTCCTGGCCGCCTGTGCCCGGGCTCCGCGGCCCCGCTAGCGCTGCTCTCTCGCTGCAGCGGCGGCTCCCGGTCCAGCAGCGGCTCCCGGCCCGACGGCGGCTCCCGGCTCGACGGCGGCTCCGCGGCGCCGGCCGCTGGGCCCCG